AACGGAGGAAAGGAGGGAGTGACGGAAAAAAAAACAAAGAAACAACACGTCCCGGGTTCAAATCCTGCCTGGATGGCAGGGAAAATAGAGTCAAAATAAAACTTACCGCACATTTCGGCCAGGTCTTCAGGCTCAAATCCGGCCTCAACCCGACGCCCCCACTGCCTCAGTTCGAAGTGCCCTGAGAACGTATGAACAAGTCTGCAAATTGAGATCAGGTACTAGCACACAATCTACTGGATCTTGCAACCGGCTTCCCGATGAGCGGTGCAAATTTTCAGACTTATGTACACAGTATATACACAGCCTCTGCAGCTGTAATCCTCGTCTGGTCTTTTGCTGTCAGAGCGTCTCTCGTAATGTGCAACAACTCGGGGCCACCGTCTCAATAGGAGTGGTTCCGTACACAAATGGGCCTAGCTCAGTTCGTAAACCCATGGACAGTTAAACTACAGACCCGTGTTCGAATCCATGCAAACACCCAGGCCGCCGTCTCGATAGGAGTGGTTCCGTATACGAATAGGCCTAGCTCAGTTGGTACACCCATGGACTGTGTTCGAATCCAAATGCAGTCAAAATAGTTCTGAAATACATACCTGGCATCGGTCAGCTCGATGATATCTCAAGGTCGTTGCCCTTTCCGAGGAGTGATTCCATCTACCCACCCGTTCTTCTTCCTCTTCCGGATAGTCCTGAAACTTGACTCCGTAACCCTTGCTCAGCCTCCCACTTGAAGGGGATCCATGCGGAGGTACTGTCGACTAAGTTTTATCTGAAACCAGCATTCTCATATAAGGGCCACAACACTGTTTTCTCCTCGGTGCATTCCTCCTCACTTAACTCGTTGCCAGAAATAGCCTGCAAACATGGCCAGAAAACCGATCACACATTCATATGGATGTGCTTCTTCCAGTTCTCACCTATCTTGTACCCACTGCATGTGATTGCCGCTCCAAACATAGCATGACATCATGAGGCAATGGCCACCTCTGCACCACCACACAGCTTGGGAGAAGAGAGGAGCCCTCCTGTGTCCTCCTATATCCTGTCGCTAACAAACTGATGCCTCCCACCATTGGTCCAGTCATGTCCTCTCTATATCCTCTCGCTAACAAACTGATGCCTCTCACCATTGGTTCAGTCAGAGGACTATCCGCTTTCAGTCATGGATTCCCGAATACAGCAGGCGATTGGGATCTGATTCATTGGTGCCCATCAGGCTTCCTACTCCAGACATCCAACTTATATGAGAAATAAGGATGTTGATAAAACCTTGTGGTGCGGCGATGAGAACTGTGCAATGCTGCTAGAAAGCACACCACCAATGGTGCTTGCTCTTCCACCAAGAGAACTTCCTCTGTTAGAAAGCACAACACCAATGGTGCTTGCTCTTCCACCAAGAGAACTTCCTCTGTCATTGGCCAATCCCATTACTTCCCTGTTACGGCTGCTAGTGCTTCCATGGCTCCTGTCGCCATTGCAGTGTAGCACTGCTTGTTGCAGTTGTCCTTCCGTCCTCGAGATCTCCTTTCACCTCCAGAAGCGAGCCACAATGATTCACCTTTGTGGCTCCGACAACCGAAGCCCCCTCCCAACCCAGCAAACACACACACACACACACACACACACACACACACACACACACACACACACACACACACACACAAACACACACACACACCTCGTCCTCATTCCCACACCTGCTCACTGTTCTTCCACTCCCTCGATCATGCAGATGACAAGTTTGTACATCCACAACAATTACTCCCAAGTGCAGATGCTCATCGTCCTCTCCAAGAACAACTGCTGAATAGATATCCCTTTAGGCTGCATGAGGGCAATATGACCCTACCACCAGCAACAACACCAACACCACATGCAACACCGAAAGTCAGTGGGAGTGGTGCACCAGTGGGTGCCGTAAGCTTACAGCCCAAGGAGGTTCCAGAAAAGCAGATGACACAAGAGGCAATGAAATGGGAAGGAGCTGGAGAAAAGAGGAGATGAAGTAGCAGGACTACAACGTACAGGCATAGCAGCAGTTGACGTGGTACAGATGGACATGTACAGGGAAAGAAGAACAAGAGATCCTGAAAGACAACAAAATGGAAAAGACAGGCATGGAGCAATGCAACCAGAATGTCCAGAGACTAGCAGCAGAGTAGGGCGGCAGAGCTGCAAGCACAGGGCCAAAGAGGAAGCGGAGAAAACAGGCATGCGGCAACAGGACCACAGTTATGTGCAGACACAACAACCGCACGACGAGGCAGAACATGTGCATGTATCTGTCGTGAAAACCATTCTCGTCGCAGTGATGGACCTGGTGCAGCGATCCTGAAAGACAAAATGGAAAAGACAGGCATGGAGCAATGCAACCAGAATGTCCAGAGACTAGCAGCAGAGTACGGTGACAGAGCTGCAAGCACAGGGCCAACGAGGAAGTGGAGAAAACAGGCAGCACAATTATGTGCAGACACAACAACCGCTGGACGAGGCAGAAGATGTGCATGTATCTGTCGCGAAAACCACAGGAGAGTGCAATGCGCTCTCGTCAGAGTGATGGGCCTGCTGCAGCTGTTGAAGCCCTCCATCATACTACCACAAGAGGCCGTGAATGCAGGACAAGGCAGCAGCGCAGGAGCTTGATCGCCCCTCAGAGCACCGAGCACCACGCACAGATGGAAGGAAAAGAACCAGGTTCCTTCCAATGCACAGGTAGGAAAGCCCTCATAGAAGCCAAAGGGCATGGGCTTGCAGTCATCTACATCTCAGTGATAACAAGCCTTCAAGCATTGGAAAAACAGGCAGGACCGAGCAGAGAGTTCCGGTAAAGCTTTGTAGCTGATCTCATACACAGTATGTTTAGGACCTTGGTATTCGGACTGTGTCAATCTTTGTTGCTGGTGAGGCTTTTCCGCACCAGTGCGTTTTAACAGACCCTGACTTGGAAAGGTGTGACAAATTGCAAACTCCTTTCCTATGCTCGAAATGCAAAGGCTCTACACATACTGTCAGGGTGCGATGAAGAACGATGCACTCACAAAACCAATGAGAAGTAGCAGATGATAGAAAGCACGACGGCAGACTGGGACTTTCTTTTATTTACTCTGTTATTAACAAGGGGGTAAGCCCCTAACTAGTATTGATTTATAAGTGTACACTGTACATATATATATTGTCACATGATATCAGAGCGCCAAAGCGAAAAACAGAAACAAGAAAAACTTAATTCATTTTTTATCTTCTTCCTTACAACTTCCCCTGTTCAGAACGTCTTGCGTACGAGGCCGCCCACGTGGATGTAGGTTGAGCGGCGGCTGCCCCCACCCCCGTGTGTCATATCGACCCACTTGCACACAGCCAAAAGGCAAAGAGGCGAAGAAAAGAGGAAGGGAACAGCCAAATAAAACAGAACAGGGGGCAACAAAACAGATCGCAGATGACAAGCCCCACATGCAAGCACCGCCCTTGCCCACAGGCTAAACGACGGGACAAGACCAACCAGGATCTCAAAACATTCTTGTCTGTGCAAGGAAAATGAACAGAAGGGAGATGACAATATTCAGATTGCACAATCACATTGAAAGCCAAATCGTAACACAGTGTTCAGGAAGTAGCATTGCACCAATATAACACCAATGGAGAATCGTAGCACTGAAAGTCAATGTCAATAAGAGTTTGCTCTCGCCACCACCAACATATGTATCCAGTCTCTATCTCCCTACTTGGCGCTCGGCGCCCAGCCTACTCCCTACACAGCTACTACTAGCCTACTAATTGACAATGCAACTGTTGACGTCAGCAGCACCCGGAGTACTTGAAGATGTCGCTCATGCAGAACCATCGCCAATACCAGGTATGCGCCCTCACATCATCATCGTCATCATCGTCATCATCCTTCTCTCTCTCCCTTGACTCTCTCCCACGTCTCCCTTTGTTGTACACCCGAAGACCACCCCTGCGCCTCATTGTTCATCCAAGCCCTGCCAACTATGGAGGCTGGGCTATGGCACTGCCCTCAGCAGCGCCCAGCTCCCTGCACGACGGCACGTGCCTGCACCTCGCCGCTCAGCGCTAGCAGCAGCCCACGAGCTTCAGCTCCAGCAGCGCTGCCGCCAGCATGTGAGTGCCCGAATGGCTGGCCAGGCAGCGAGCTCTTTCCTATATGGAAAGAGCCTGACTCGTTCGGCAGCCTGGCTGGACTGGCCTGGCCCCAGAAGCTTTCGGTAGGCCCCAGGATGCTGTGCCTCTGGTGCAGCTACTGGGCCTCATTCAGTTGGGCCTCCCAACTGTCTGTGTACGAGGCTGTGAATCTCGCCCAGGGCCTGTGCTTTCAGAAAGGCCTAGAAGGCCTGGGAATTTCCACGCTGCTCGGCCTGTGTTTCCCTTCAACCAACTGGCGCGACGAAACTACCTGGACCCCAAATGCGAAATTGACAGCCAAGGGCCTCTCGTGATTTGTTAGGCCCACCTTCACTTAGGACGGGCACATATGCTACAAGGGGCCCCTTAGGCCTGACGAGGACCCACATCCTCGCATTCCCTCCTCCTGTACTTCGATAGTCCTCTGAGAAGTTTTCTATTCTGCAGGCATCTTCCCTTTAAGATCTCTTTCATAGCCTGCAATGACTTGAGGTGCAGTTCTCACGAGTTCTTCTCTGGTGAACCACCGATCTTCGCTGGGGTCCAGATGATGTCTGAATCTGACCCGATATTGCATTTTTGGCTGAGGAGGGCGGCCTCTGCCCGGTGGTCGAGGAACTGGCATCAGACGATGCTCCACGATCTGGTCTATGTCCACTTCGCTATCCATGGTTGGGGGCAGCATTGATCTCCTGAAGGGAAACTGGTCTGTGGCAGCAAAAGGTGCCAGCTTGGATGCATGGAAAACAGGGTAGGTACGCAAGTGTGGAGGAATGCGAATCACGTATGAAGACCCATCCGGTTGATCCCCTACAATGTCTAGCGTAGACGCTACAGTTCTGCTAAGCCGCTGCACTTGGTCCCCTAAGCGCAGTCTATCCACACAAGCACGACTGATGAAGTTTCGTGTAGAGCTTATGTCTGCGAAGGCGTCAACTTTGCAGCCACCTACATCAACCTCTACCACGAAATGTTCACCCTTTGGACCTCTACTGATCATCACCCAAAAGTCTCTGGGGTCCTTTCCTGACCACTCAGTCTCTAACTCTTCTAGGGCCTCAGACACATCTCTCGAACAAAGCGTCGGTGGGTCTAAATGTGTCTGCGGGGCGATATGTGGGTCACTAGCCCTGGCCAACGCCTGAAGTGGGGAAGCCAACGTTACCACTTCAGCGCCAGTAAGAGCGGCTAAAACTCCTACTGGCCCGAGGTGTTTCCCTGCGAAGTGCTCGCAGAAGCACTGCCAGGGTTCAAAGATAGCCCCACCACCGTTGGAGAGGTTACCCTCGTTAGGACTTTCTTTCCTCGGCATGTTCGGGACGTGTGGCCATAGTTGCCACAGTTCATGCACCTGCCCCTAGCGACTCGGTCCCTCCATACCTCATGCTCTAAACCAAGTTTCACTCATGCAGCGTTCCTTGGTCGCCCTGACCCGTAGACCGGCTTACCTTCTTCTTCCCGGTCCCCCTAGCCTTTTCCTTAATGGGTGCCACGATTCCCCCATCCGAAGCCTCACTGGCCCCATCGTGCTCTGTCTCCTCCCCAAGGTCCGGGAAGTCGTCAATTTATGTCGCCTGACCATCGTGGTCAACGAACATTAGTTGACCTTTCTTCTTCCAATCCTGGGTAGTCTCTTCTTCCTACCATCCCCCTGACTCTGATGCGCAGATCCCAATTTTGCCTCTACGTCTAAGGCCTTCTTGCTGAATGAAGCGGAGTTGTGTTGCTGAATGAAGCGGAGTTGTGTTGTTCGACATAGGCCTCGTTTACGTAAGGACTCAGGAGTACCTGTTGGTAGGTACCAACGAGTAGACGTTCTACGGTATCCGTAAGCTCTCTAACATTCTTGTACCTTCTGGCACAAAGATTGTTCATCGTGTTTGTGGCCTTTTGGGCCCCTTGAGGGTCATGCCACCTATCGTACACAGACCGTACGAACTCTCCCAATGTTTGGGTCTAGGCCCAGGCATCGAAATTTTAATAGTAGCCCTGTTGCTGCACTAGGCCATTTAACCAGCGGGCTGCTGACCCCTCTAGAAAGGAGGCAGCCACTACAACTTCTTGCTCCGGCCTGGTAAGCTTGTGCCTGACATAGGTAGACACTGTCCTTACCCAGGTGTCCAAGTCCTCATCCTTCTTCCTGTCGTCGGAGAACGGCTTAGGACTCAGCAAGGGTATTTTGGGCATCCACTACATAGGCTGCATTGGCCCAGGGGATTGTTGCAGTGGCTGCATAGCCACCGAAACAGGTTGCTGCACACTAACATGGGCCTGGCTTGACAGTGGGACTGTAGTAACCATTGTCGTCGATGGTACGGCTGAGACTCTAAAGACCGGACCACTAGTTGCCACATAACCACCTGGAGGGGGCATGCCAAACATAGGTGAGAATGAAGGCCCTACCGGCGATGGCGTCACTAATGGACCCGCACCCGAAGGGGGAGCTACAGCAAACTGAGGCTACCTCATCACTGGACGAGGAGCCTGTAGTGCAGCCAGAATTCGTTTCTGGTCTGCCACTAGTTCAGCCAACAGTTCCTGCTGAACAACATGCGTCTCCGCCCCACACAGGAGTGAATTCCGCAGTGCTTGCATAGCGGGATCTAATGTGGACTCGTCTAGTGCTTCTAGCTTGCCTAGCTCCTGCAATCTACTACCTAGTCTAACTTTCCTCATTATAGCTCTTTTTCTCCTCTCTGCTGCTT